CCTTGGCGAGGAGGAGTGAACCAATAATGTGCAGCAAAAAAGGGGGGTTTTAGGGTTTGTTGATTTTTCTCGTTACAAAAACATGGTGATTTGTAGGAAGAAACTTGGGAAAACTGAAACCGTACAGAAGAATCCCCAGTCGCAGATCTGAACGCACGGGATAGTGAGATATAGCTGGGTTCACCCCTTCAGCCGCGGCCAACCATGGGTTGGATCTAAGGACCTGTCTACGTGAGACAATCAGACCTCAGAAGCTCAACGGTGGCCCGAGGTCATGCCTGGTAGGGTTCGCACTTGATACTTAATGCGTAAATTCCCTGGTTAGTGTTGTGGGTAGTCGAATTAAATGCTGTAGAATACGCTCTCTTCTTAGTCATTCAAACGGGAGGATGAGGTCACTCCCCGAAATGCCAATCATGAGATTTTGTATGGTTGATAGATGCTGTGTCGAATTCCTTCTACGAGTATGGAGTAAGGTTTTGAAGTGCAGAATATGGAATTGTAATACCCATTGAATGTACAGCCCGACGGAGTGGTAACCCGGGACGCGACTCAGGAATTATGAGATAATGACTTGGATCATAGGGCAGAGCATGAGTACAAATGAATATGTCAATCGGGACAATTTCGTCTATCTGCTTATTTTGTTAATTAGATCACTTGATACATCTTTCTACTTCGCATCGTTGTTCCAGGTAACATATATGATTAGGTATATAAAATAGACGGGGGTAGTATATCGGAAGAGCGGAACGAATATGAAGGGGCTATTCCAGAAATCGACGTGGTGTAGAAAGAATTGGTATTCAATGCCCTCTCGATGTTTTCTTGAGTGACATGTTTTTTTTTATTTATTTTTTTTTTGCACAGCCGCCGGCAGTTTCAGTCAGCCTGTCATCAGAAACAACGCAAACATTCAGGGCCTCTCAGCACCGTAACATGACATGGTAACGATGGTAGTGATGCAAAAATGGACACGAGAAAATGTGTGAGCGAGTGCAAAAAGTTCACTAATCTCCTACAATTGGACATAAAGAATGCTTGTCTATTTTGCTTGCTTCCACCCAATTCAAGACCCCTTTTCGACAGTGCGACACTGGTAAGAAATCGATTTTTGAATCCGTCATGCTGGTCGTGGTTTAGTTCGAGGCGGAGTCGTTCGCCTGTGTCACCAGTATCGACAAATGCGTATGTACGAGGAACCCTTGAGGCCATCGTCCCATGAAGAGTGGTGTTGGGCTTGAGCGGCGGGCAAGCGTCGATGCGTAAGCTGCGTTACAATGCCATCATAAGCTGGTTTAATTTGATTTGATTGTGCTCATAAGCTTTCAAGTTTCAGCACAGCAATTGAGAGTGAGTACAAGTAAGGCGATGGATGGATGTGATTGATGTGAAGGATGATGTTCCCGAATAAGTAAAGGATAGATGGGATATCGATAGATATCGGGCCTGCTTCACATTCATGCATTTGCATTTGCATTGCAGTGTGCAGCGTAGTGCAGAGCGTAGTGTAGCAACATCATATTATAATCTGTTCTGATCGAATGTCATCACATTCTCGGTTTCGCTTTGTGCCTTGCCTTGCCTTGCCGTTCATCTCGTCGATTACTCTGTACTGCAAATCGCTTGAAGGCTATGATAATGTATGATGTGTGATGTATCATGGACGTTACGTTGAATGAACGACGAAACGGACTAGGTGGGTATATTCAATTACCTCGGTCGAATGATTGTGTCAATGATTGAGCCGTGTGTAGTAGTTTGATAGCATATCAATTCTAGTCTTTTCCAGGCTAAAAACTTAAAACTACTATTATATCAATCGTTATTGCTAGTAGATTTGGATATTTAGACATTTACACTCTTATGTTTCTTTAGTGACAGGCAGCAGTATATTGTATTGACAAGCTTTCTCCCTTGGCTATCTTCAGTTAAAGGCAAAATTCTACAATGCCACATTGGTAAGTTAATCCAGGTTCAATCGAGGTAATTAACCCTTTTCTATCAAATGATGTACCAAAACCTCTGTCATCGAGTCCAAGCAAAGAAAATGGAGGCTGGAGCCCTATGCCCATAGCGGGTACCATCAACTTCAATATCATGGTTTCATGGAACCCTTTGCATTTATCAGGGATATTGATTCGTTTGCCATAGCATTTCAACATTGAAGGAGGGTGATGGCCAACAATATTGCAAGCCGATCCTTCTTCGGGTAAGAAACATAAGAGAATGCGGCAGATCTCCGTTGGTGATATGCAAACAGAAACTCGGAAATCAACCAGTAAGAAGATATCTTCCACTCCATCCATCCACACCAATTCGGCTATCCAACCCGATTCAAGTCATTAAGCTGTCAAAGGCACATGTGAGTAAGTCATTGTGTATTAAGTATGTACGTCCGTATGTAAATGTAAGTGTATGGTTAGAACTTAGCAAATATTCACAAAATTTATTTTTGGATCAAGATGCATTCCGCCTTCCATCCACTACTGAGTACAACCAACCATCATTACCTTTGATCCTTGTTATACCTTATTCCAAAGACTGCATCAGAAGATCTACGCCGCTGAAAGCTGGTTCGTTGTTCAAGACAAGGAAGGTGGGAACTTTTCTCCACTAACCTTATGTTTCTCCCTACATTTGAAGTTATGCACCGTCGCATCATATTCACTACAACGCAGGAATTGATTTCAAAATTAGGTAAGTGGATGAATTTCCTAGCATATCCGCAGTAAAATAGAGTTTTTTCTTAGTCTTTTCGGAAAAGCTAGATGGTAACATGGAAAGCGGTGAGATCTTGATAGGTAGAGGAGGGCAGAGGGGGTTTAGATTTCTTTTGCTTTGATTGTACAGTACAAACTTTCAGCGAGCGAGCGAACGAGCGAACGAACGAACGAACGACGAACGGTGATAATGTTTTAGGGTTAAAAATAATCATTGGTTCAATCGAAACTTCGTGTAGACAGAGAGTATGTCAGAAACGAAAACATCGACCTTCGGAAAGGGTTAAACTAAAATAGGCTATTCTTATCCGAGCTTTCGTTTTGCCCATTTTTTCCCCCTTACTTGTTTGCCCTGCCACCTTTTTCAAAGTGAAACCTAAATGGACTTTTTCAATGTCCGTTTCTTGCTCACTTATTTTTGGGCACCTATGAGCATTGTATCTTCGGGACTTACAGGTATCATAGCTCAGTTTTGCCTTCAAAGTTTAGTTTACTATTTTGCCAGCAATTATCCTTCTCTTGAAAATGTTAATAGTTTCAATACTTTATAGCACCGGTAAACCGCGGACATACAATGTTGCGGTCATAGTAATAATAGCAAATGCTACCTCAAAACAATCCAACCGACTGTCAAAGCACCTGATTAGTTCTGGTTGTTCCGCCCCCAAAACGAGACCATCAGTGTTTATCGGAGCCGAAATCGATGGAAAACCAGTTCCATTACTCGGTACCCCCCGTTACCCTGCCCCCATTGACCTTTTTTGAACACATTACATCTATTTTACTAAAAGAAACCTCCCCAATTCCTTGGTATTATACAGCCTATATACTATTACTCTATAGTCAACAACGATACTGGTACTTGACCAACACCTGATCAATCCAAGACCTCACACTGACACAGTCAAAATCTTCCTCCTTGTGGCACCCAAGATTGTTTGTTTGCCCTCCTCGCTATGAAAATAGATACTGGAGCAATGAATGAAATAGTGGAGAGACGGTGGAATGGATGAATAATTAGATAGTGCACTCTTAGCCCAGGTAGTAGACTACAGCATACAATTCCATGGCGGCATGGCAGATTCTGCCATGCAGTTTGGCAAGTAATGGTCTACTAAAGATGCTAACGTCTGCCCCTTGGAACCATTGTAGTTCCTACCAGTAGTTAACTCTTGAGTTTCTCGATGACTACTACGGGAAAATACTCACTAATCAATCGATTTCACTCCACCTGACCTAAACTTGCCTATTCCATCCAAAAAAATATTTTATTTCCATACACTACTAACCTTTACCCTTCATACTATCTCCACCATACCATCCAATCCTGACCATACTAAATCCAAATCATCATCATCCTAGACACTCAGTACCACACTACCCTGCCCTACACATGCAGGCTTTCAAGCGCTCCGCATCCCGGGTACCTTGGCTGTGCTGAGAGCTATACCTATTTCATCAATTCTGCCAAACTCCCGGCAAGGACGCCTTTTGCTATTAGAATGCTGGCATCGCCAGCCAAATCATGATTTTGATATTTCCCTTTCGCATCAAGATCACCCAGAAAACAAACACACTTCAGCCCTCACGTTCGCTGCAACTCCTCCCTCCCACCACATTCGCTTGTGTGTATCACTCTTAGGAAGCCCTCGTTGGCTCCTTCCGTTCGCTTTTGTGTCGTCCTCACTCAGCCCTAATTTTCCCCAAAACCTAAAAGGCAAGCCTTCGGAGGAAATTCCTTTCGCAGCCTTGACTCACAACATACCTTCGTTGAACAACTCAAACCCACACAATCGCTACGCAATCACTACTCTTTGTGTGACGATTATATCAAGACGGATTCTCTCTTGATCTTCCGGATCCTTAAAAGACATACCCAGCTTATATGCTTACTTGCTGCTCCAAGTCTGTCCAAGCTCACCTCGACATCGAAATACAGTTACGTTGCGTTCAGCCGCTGCGCCTTTAGATCTGATTGTTTTGTCATTCAAGAAGATATTGAACCCGGCTGGCTCTTGCAGCCTTACCATTACACTCGCTTGCAAGACGGTGAAGCTTACATATATCCGGCAGCCTCGGAGACCTTTTAGATCTCTAGTCCCTCCCCCTCTGTTGCCTCTCTCACGCAACATATAAACTTTTTAGCTTTCTATATATCCTATTGACCTTACCTTTTCAAACCCATTTCGACGTTGGCTTTCACTCGTTCAAGCCTTCGTCGTCAATTACCTACTCACTTTTTTTTTAACTTCTTATTTTCCCCAAGCCTTATTCAAAATGGCCGGACCTGGAGGTGGACCCCCTCGTAGGAGGTAAGATTTACAATTCGATCAATACCTTTGTGGACATAGACTAAACTTGAAATAGTCATACCAAATCTCGAAAGGGTTGTGAAACCTGTAAACGTAGACACATCCGTTGTGACGAGAACTTTCCTCAATGGTACGTCGATTGAAAACAAACCATCTTGTGACTTGAAGAGGCTTAAATACTAATAACAATCTAGTCGAAACTGTACGAAGCATAACTGCCGCTGTCCATATATGGATATGCCAGCACAGGAGGAACGAGCTGCCACGCCCGAGAAAGCAGACTTGTTGTGGACCCCGGAGATTGAAGCAGACATTGAGCGATGGCAACAGACTGGGAACTTTCCCTTCCCTGATCTATACATCTATCCAGCTCCCAACCCTCAGTATTTCAGCTTCGAAGACCTCCGCCTCATTCATCATGTAGCTTCCGTTTCCAGCGAGCTCAGCATTCACGATGCAGGAAATTTCACTATTTGGACTCGACAGATTCCACTGTAAGATTAACCACTTTTAGAATAACTGGTTGGCATGCTAATCAAGCTTTTAGCTTACTCAAGATTGGTTCGAGCTATCCTTTCGTCATGCACGCTTTACTTGCCTTGTCTGCAACTCATCTGGCTTGGTTGACAGACTGCCCTCTCACGGCAAATATGGCATACATTCATCGTGGCATTGCTCTCAAAGGCTTGCACGAAGCTATTGGAGAGTTTTCTCGTCAAAATTCAGATGCAGTCTTGGGAGCTTCACTTCTCCTTTCTTGGCAAACAACGGAATGGTAAGTTATCAACGAAGCTATTATCCAAAGAATACAAAGCTAACACAAACTTAGGCGTGGTTGGACCCAGCTCATGCATGGGACTTCATCTGTATGGAATACAACTAGTATTGGGTATAATATTTCAGTATCAACTAACATCTGATAGGTCATCGACGCTATGCAACCCTGGAAAATGGAATCTCAATTCGGCGATTTTATTGCAGAACAAAGTACGTTCCCAACTGCACCACCATCCCCAGCGCCCGGCCAGAAGAAACTCAGTCAACCACGCAAGCAAGATTTGGAAGCATTGCAACGCGCCTATGCTCAACTTCAAAAGGTTGAAGTCCATTTGAAGAGTCACGGCGAAGACACCAAGGCCATTCAACAACTCATGAGTTTTGTTCGAGGTGTCCGAAAGGTATCGCCATCCCATACCGCCGCCCAGCGATTCGAGATGCTCAACCCACTTCGAGCTTGGTTATTCTGGCTACCGGTTATGTTCTTGCAACAAACACGCGGATCGCCCTCAGCGCTAGTCATCCTTGCTCATTACTATACCATTGCTTTGGTTGTGGAACCTCTGTTCCCTGAGGTCGGAGCAGCATATTTTGGCAGTCTTTCTCTGGGACCCATCGAAGAGATCGCCCGCCGATTGTTCTCCATCAACGTTTCGCAAACTTCTGATTCCAACATGCAAACACCTCTTCATCTTATGGAATACCCCATAGATATGGTTTCGATGTTTAGAAGTCGTATGGGTTGGGTTCAGCCAGAACGTACAGCTTCTTTCCCGACATTTTCACATCATAGTTACAGTATGGAGGACAATTTCAACACCATCTCTCCCTACGGAAATCCAGCTTTCACCTACAGCCAAGAGCATATCATGGCCATGCCGCCAGATCCGATCTCTTCTTCGGCCATTCCGCCACTAACTCTCGATCCGTACGCCAACCAGTACTTGGGAATTCCATCGCCAAGTGGGTATGGCGGGTACCACAGTCCGGCATCTTCGAATTTTGGGGAGGGTTCAACGATCTACAGCGAGCATGGGGATGATTTTGCTCTGTATGAGGGACAGGGCTCCGGCTCCAATTTCGGCGGGTTTGTGCTTCCGACCGTGTGGATATAAACCTCGAACGAAGGCGATTTAACATTTACGACCAGGACCACAACATCATCTTTTCAATTCGAGCCAAGATCTTCTGCGGACCAGATCAAAGCTGAACATTCCGACCATATGCAGCAACACGTGCAGCATTTACCTCAATTTCAACCTTATACCTATCATCCTCAGCATTTACCTCACTCTCAATACGACAACACTCCGGTGGATCCCAAGGGAAAAAACCGCGAGCTTTAATATCAAATTATCCCCGATTTCCCTTTTTGAATATGCGAATACGCGCGCACCGTCGAGTTTTTACGAGATTATACTTTATGGATCTCCTTAATTATTGCTTTTAATATCTACATCATCCTAACGACTCTCCTTTATATCCGACCAATGATTCACGAAGTCTACGATTTTCTTTCGCTATGCATTCTTGTACGAATACCAGCACCCACGATCCTTTATATACCAATCAGCATCTTGCATTAGGCGGCGTTTTTGGGTTAGGTTTGAGAATTGGAGGAATTATTGATTGGGCTGAGCTTTTGGGCTCAATGGATAGCCATAAATGGCTATAAAAATCAGTGGGCGTTACAGTTAAGAATAGTAGCTATCTCGTGTGTAGTGCGAATAGGGGTAGATTTGCAAACGTCGGGGGTTACAATGATAATGTGTCTAGATAATCTATCAGGAAATCAATCAATCAATCAATCAATTAAATTAACAAACCACTGGTGGTATGGAAATCTCCAAGTGATCTGCTCAATGATGTGTGACCTGTCTAATATCTCTCCCCTTCCGCGAAAACTACCCAACTACTAGACATGCAGTCAGCTTCCAAGAAAAAGTAAGTTATTAGGTCGAGATCTCAATATACCCATATATTCCTCTCCACAATTATGTATAAATTCGAAGATCTACAGAAACGCATCGACGTTAAGTATGACGTGCGTCTACTCCCTACTTTTCAATTTACTAACACAATTCTCGTCTCACTTGGCACCTCACCGGGGGCAGCAGGGGGCAATCACGTGTGGAGGGGTTTAGCGTCAATGTTAGCGGCAAGACATAATTCGTCGCACCTGGAGCTTACCTAGTCTCGAAAGCTTGAGCTTCAAATGTTTGTAAAGTTATAATTCAAAACTACTTCCTTCTCACCACACGTCTTGTACATTAACCTATAGCAAATATGAGTGGTGGTTGGTCTACTAGTAAGTATTGCACTCTATATATCACCAGAATTTAAATAGAAATACCAAGGATACTAACATTCCCACTCCAGTCGAATCTGACGCAGTAAGAAGCCCAGAACACAATTCCTGACTTAGAGCAAACAGACAATTAACATCTTCCTCTTATAGGGAGTCTTCACATTCCTTCTCGATAACCTCGGTGTCAAAGATGTACAATTCGAAGAACTGATCGCGCTCGATTCTGATTATCTCCGTCAACTCTCTCCCATTTATGGCGTCATATTTCTCTTCAAATACCCCGTCGGAGAAGCCCCCAATAAAGATGGCACACCCAAAGATGGTTCCTACGATTATTCCGCTGCGGAGAATCTCTTTTTCGCTGCACAAACCATACAAAATGCTTGTGGCACCCAAGCACTTCTCTCGGTCCTCCTGAATAAAGATGGAGAAATAGATGTTGGCACTCCACTTCGCGAATTCAAAGACTTCACAGTGGGCTTTCCGGCAGAGTTTAGAGGAGATGCCCTCAGTAACAGCGATTTGATTAGAGATGTTCATAACAGCTTCGCTAGGTCAAGTCCGTTTGTTGATGAGACGCAACGATCGTCGAGAGATGAGGATGGAGATGTTTATCATTTCATTGCTTATACATCTATAAATGGTACGCTCTATGAATTGGATGGTCTACAACCTGCACCTATATCTCATGGAGCGTCGACTGTTGAAGAATTTCCAGAGAAGGTTATACCAGTTTTACAGAGGAGAATAGAAAGATATCCAGCGACAGAGATACGGTTTAATTTATTGGCGATGGTAAAGGATTTGAGGGTCAGAGCGAGAGAAATGGGTGACGTGGAGTTGTTGATGAGGGAGGAACAGAAGAGAAATGAGTGGCAATTCGAAAATGCTTTACGAAAACACAATTTTGTTGGATTTGCAGGGGAAGTATTGAAGGGTGTAATAGGGGATAAATTGAAAGAAGGACCTAAGGCGTATGAGGAATGGGTGGAACAAGCGAAAAATAAGACAAAGGCGAGAGCGGAGGAACAGAAGAAAGGTGGTGGAGATGGGGATTTAGACATGTCTGGTTGAGGAATGTTACTGGGAATGGAGATTTCGAGAGAAGATACGCATCAGGTTGAATTGGAACTTCTAGGTTGGTCGAATATCATCGACCTAGCATTATTGGAACTTTTTCCGCGGATGGAACATGACAATGCATATATGATGGTTTGTGAGCGGAGCAAACGATTAAAAAAGGCTACAACATAACACAACATAACGTCAATGAGATGGAATTTCTTGCCAGGAAACCTGGCTGGATCATTTTTTACCCATCTTTTTTACATTTTAAACAACCTTCTGTTTTGTGGTACAAATCATTGATAAGCAAACAAACATACATCTCTCCACCCACCGCATCACCATTGTTATCATGCAAAAACTGGTAAAGCTCAGAAACTATCCAATTTTCCGAAGGGAAAAATCATATCTATCCTATTGTATATGGATATTCAAATATCATACATGTACTCATGGCACCCACCAAAACGCTTATTCATAAACACTAAACACTACCTAGTATCCTTTTCGATTTTCATTCCCAAACCCATCGCTTCATGCGTATGTGTGTATGTATGTATATCATGCGTATCCATGTATGTATAAATATATGTATGTAGGTGTACACACGCACCGCAAACCCTACCTATACCATTCCATAATCAGAACCCCAAAACTAAAACCCCTAAATAACCCATAAACGCCCTCGTTACCTAACAACCTGCGCAACACCCTCTTTAATACTCGCCTGCATCCTCGCTTCCTCGGCTCTGCTTTTTTCCCCCTTTGTTCTCTTCCCCTTTCCCTCTTTCTCTTTTTCCTTCGGTCCCTCGTCTTTGATATTATTATAATGCAACACCCCCAGTTCCCTATCCATCCTCAATCTCTCTCGATCCTCCTCGGTCACCGGCACGCCCTCAATCGCCTTGACTTTCTTCGCCTCCACAAACGACATGATCCCACCCGCAGCAGCAACCATACAAGCCAGTGCCACAAAAAGTCCCGTACTCCACGACGGACGATCGTAACGATTGAGTCCCCACATGAAACCCGAAAGGACGGCTTGCAGAAAGGTATTCCATACCATCGTCCAGACCACAAAATCGAGTTTCCACATGGCGGTAGCGGGGGCTCGAACACCCGTCAATGGCGCATCCGGGGACTTTGAGAGAGGAAATGCGAGGCTTGACTGAGGGAGAGGCGTATCGGAATCTTGGGCGTCGAGTTGAGAAGGTCCTATTTCCGGGGACAAGGACTCAGAACCCGCGAGACGAAACCACGATCTATTGATCCCCGCCAATCTTCTCAATCCCATTTCATTCTTTCCAATTCGGTACTGAAGCAGATAATAGAGATCGCGAAAGCGCCAGGGAATTGTTCCAAATCCCGTTACGCAGAAAAGGGCATTGAGGATTTGCGAATCGATTTCGATCCAGACGCGTCGAGGAGAGTTGATATCGTTGCAAGTTGGTTTGCACATGGCGGGCGAAGCATTGCAGAGTAATAGGAAGAGCATACCACCCCAAGCAACCACATTCAAACCATAAACCGTCACGAGAAATCCCACAGGAGTGATGAAGAATTTCCAAAAGGCTTTGAAAAATATAGCGGTAGATACTTTCCATGAGTGTTTGGGCGGAAATTGATATCCATTATCAAAAGGAGTCGTTCTGTATTCATCGTCTATCTTCGCATTGTGGGACGCGCGGTTTGTATCGCTGTTAATTCGAACACTGGAATTCGGTTTAACAAGCACTTCATTCTTGACGTCTGAGTTTGTGGTCGTAGAGGTACTTCTCAGATCTGAATGCGCTTGTGTACGTTCATCATCCTCTAGTGCTTCGGGAAGAACATCATGTTTGTTCTCCGTACCCGATGGGGTATGATCGGAAATATTCATACCGGTCGAATCCTTTCTCCTGCTCTTATCCCGATCTCCCGATTGTAAAATGGTGCTTCGAGAAGAGCTTGTCCGTCTTTGGATTTCTCGCACCTGTCCCTCGCTCGACCAACCCTCGAGTCCAAAACTTCCTCGTCTGATATCGGTTATCGAAGGTACCTGTGCTGCGATTTGTCCCGATGCAATACAAAATCCCGTCGGTGGGTTCGATTCCTCAAATACTCTAGAAACTCGCCGAATACTACCCAATGTACTTGAAGGTCCTCTACTTCGAGTAATTCCTTGTTCTTCGACTTTGGAGGTAGACGATGGATCTGGGGGTGAAGATCCCTCTAGAAGGGGGAATGGTAAGACACTTGGTTCGATACTAGAGTGTCCATCTTGGCGTAGGTAATTCGCTGGAGGCGAAGCTGTATTGGCATTGGCACTGGTACTGGTCATCGCATGATTATCGCCACCAGCCGCGAAAGTATCATGGTTAGCCATTAAGAATGTATCGGTTGATATGGATATCGAAATACTGTCTCAATAATGTGTCGAAAAATGCAACGAAAGAATTTTGCTTCTTCAATCTTTATCAAGTCATACTGAACACATGAGCAAAAGTAAATTGAGTTTGAATCAGAGAAAGAAGTAAATAAAGTTGCATCATGAATTTGTGTATGCGACTGCCCAGTGATTTAAAGAGTTCTAGGCTTCGCGCGATCCGACCAGCTTATCAGAGTTACAAGCCAATTTGGGGGAGATGGGGATTCAGGGGTTATGTATGGTAAACTTAAAATTTTAGCGGCTCTCAACTCCACGTAAAAAATGTGATCAGCGGAAGAATGCGAATGAGGGGGACTTGGTATTCTCGTATTTCGTATTTTCGTATTTTTCGCATCTAAAAGTCTTCTAGTTTCTACTGACTTCGTAGAGAGCAGTATTATAGATTTGAGAGAGACTATTCAAGAGTTATCTTCTCGTGTTGATTAATTCGTGATATGAGTTGCATCACGTGCTCGTGTGGTCGAATTAGAAGCATTTACAAAGGAGGCATATAGTCGTAGAGATTTGAGCCACAGAGGATGAGTGCATTTCTATGGAATGAAATATATGTGCAGACTAAATGGTACAAAGAAAGATACATAGATAGATGAGTGTTCGCATTACATGATTATAACTATTTGGAGTGATTCAAGATACGAATTTGAATTGTGTATTTCAAGATTCATCCAAGCTGTCTGTTTGTAGAGCTTGTGAAAAAAAATCCAACAGCATTCATATCCACATTCTTGAACCGTGTGATTGCCCAACCCCGCGGTTTCCATATTCTCGTATTCAAATACAATTTGGAAGTCAAATCGAAAAGATCGCGTGAAAATTGTAGAAAATAATGAAATCAAATTATGAGAGCTTACCCTCCGCTTTCGCAGCTGCAAAAACTGTTAGCTTCACTCTGAGGTTGTTGCAAGATTCTTACCTTTTACTTGCTCGAACACTTTGAGCATCTTTCTTCTCGCTCCAAGCGCGTTGACACCCCTCTTCTCCAATGCCTCGTCATCTAGTTCCACAAGCTCGGTCCAATTCATATCCTTAAGCTGATCGGTGTACTTATGTAATCTCAAACTTCTCAGCCAGCTGGGAATATCCTGAAGAAGGCTAGGATCGGTAGGATCCTCAGGGGGCTTTGAGCTACCCCTTCTTCCACGTGGCGATCTACCCCGCGCCATTTCACTATGATCGGAGAGATACCCCTCATGCTGTCCCATACCAAATGCGTTAAGACTCAAGCCACTCATGCCATTGTTGAGTAGAGGTGAGGCTCCATCGTATGCGGCCAAGAAGCCGTTATTCTGTGGAGATGCGAAATTGACTTGACCAAATCCGCCTTGCATGGCCAAACCTGGAGAGCTTGGCCTAGACTGCCTGCCGCCAAAAGAATGCTGCTGCTGAGCTTGAAGCCCTAGGACCTGGTCTCGACTCATTATTTGTCCATGTTCATTAATCATGACAACGTTAGCGTTTGGCATATTGTTGGGAAGACCGGGAGAAGGTGGAACCTGTCCACCATCGTTTGATCTAGCACGGCGGTACTTTCGTACATCATCCAAGGCAAATCGATTGTTGACTGTAGAAAGGGCTGCTAATTTCATAGCCGTAGCGTTTGCGACCATGTCGGTGTTGCTGTTCGACGCATTGAAGTTGGGAACCATTGGTGTGTTGACCATCGAGGCCCAGTTTCCGTTCCCTGCATTATATGGCGAAAGTAGTGGCATATCAGAGCCAGTATTGTCAGGAGCGTTGATTACAGTATTTTGGAGGTTGGATGAGCCTTGAATTTGAGTGGGTCTGGGAGAGCGCAAGCCACCAGCTGAAGGTGGCGGTTGCATAAACTGGCCCATGGGTGTTTGTCCTGAAGATGACTTGGGTCTGTTTGCCTGGTCATTACTGCGAGAGCCCCATGGTGAGGCGGGAGGTGCACTATTGTCCGTCGAGTCTCCAAGACCAGCGATGACAGGTGCGGTGAGAGAGGCACGGTTGTCGTAGGCAGCACTATTTCTATTTGAGGTAGGAGGATTGCCCCAGTTCTGAGTATATTCGGCCTTTTTGCTGGCAATAGCTGCCGCAGCATCTGGAAACATGTTGTTTATCATGGATGGATCTAGGACAGAGTGTCTCTTTGTAGACGGAGTGGCGGGAGGACGGCCAATAGAATTTCTTGAGCCATCACCACCAAGCTTGCCCATTGCATCGTTTAGTCGAGTTGACATAGGATCTGGAGTAGACAGATGTTAGCTAGACCTCAGGAAAAGCGTGAAGCCGAGATGTTTCAAGACTAACCTTTGTCGAAGTTTGCGGGTGACAGCACACCAGACATTGGATGGTTTTTGCCCATCTGCTGTAAAACTTGTATAAAAAAGCGAATCTGTACTTGGGTTGTTTGTTGAAGTAGAGCATACAAAGCAGCGGTTCGTTCGGCCTCACTCAAAACCCGGAACCATTGTTCTATTGCACTTAACTCATCTTTAAAGTCTTGATCCAAGGTTGCAGCTGCCATTTCTTCCAAAGTATTCTCATATTGGTCAATGTCGGCGATCCATTGCTGAGCTTCCAAGTCAGTGTCATTCTCAGGGACACCCTGACCTTGCATTTGTTGAGTACCGTAAAAATCGGATGAAGGTCGAGCTTGGCCACGGCTAGCAGATGGTGAACCTGAATATCCAGCCATGTCTGCAGAAGCTCGAAGGTGATGACCTGAGCCGACAGCGCGTGAAGATGGAGGTCGAAGTGATGAAGTATTTGTAGACTCGACAGGAGTGCTGTTGCGATTGCCTATGATGTGTCCGGCCGACATATTGAGCATAACTGTTCAAAATGTAGCTTCAAAGCGAGATGCTGTAATAAAAAAGATTGGAGATTCGCTTTGGGGGGAAATGGGGGAAAATATGAAACACAGCCGACGAATGTCAATGCGAGGAAGATTGCAAGTTCGTTCCCAGTCAAAAGCCTCGACCCCAAAATTAGAAAGATGTGCTCCAATGTAAATACCGATGCGCTTGATTGCTACCTGCAGGACCTGCTGAGGAACCAAATAAAAGTACAGGATAGGTTCGTGTATTTTGTTAAGTAAGTTTATGGTGGATTGGAAGTGGGTGGTGGTGAACCAATAGAGAAGGATTTCTCAGGGTTCAGGTACTTTTTGGGTTGTAACTTGTAAGAAGCTCCGAAGTCAGGCTGGGAGAATGGATGAAAGACGAGAGATGGATAAGTTGAGATCCCAAAAGGGTTCCTGGTTCCGATTTCCAGATTACCAAATGCTCAAATAGTACCGAATCGACCGTTGCGTTGCTGGTTGATATTGTACTTTTGATACAGTACCAGAGTAAGTTGTGAGTACAGAGTTGAGTTCAGTCGAATCGAGTCGAGTCGGGTTTGAGTTGAGTTGACAGGATCAGTTGAAAATGAATCCAGGGATTATTCTATAGATGAAGTAGATACTTGGTAGAAACTAGGTATAGGTATCTACTCGTATAATAGATAAAATGGATAGATTGGCTTGTGTTCAACGTTTTATTTTGTTATTCTTGAAGAGGAGGGGGCAAAAAGTAACGTTTCGAATTGAGTAGATGCGGAGCAATAAGCTCTCCAAAAATTACTAGGTAGGAAAATCCCCGAGGAAAGTACAATTGTACATTTATGATTACCTATGCTATGCTACTCGAGTAGACGGAGAAAGGGATTCACCGCGGAAGTCGGACAATGTTTGAAAAAGCAGAGCCAATGCCAGATCGCCGTTGATGAATAAAGAAAGAAGTTCTGTTTCACATTCAAATTCACCAACATAGATAATTGGTTTTCAAATTTAATAAGTCCCAGGTCATTGTAAGAAATGAAGCCATCTCCATTTCGAGGTCTCTTCATTACTTAGGTAGGTATATTCACTTGTAGCTTCATTCACTTCACATTTCATACATCCTGGGTAGCCATTGTCCGGGATAATTTTAGATCCTGATTGAAGACAAAAGAATTGAATCATATTGGTTATCAAGTCCCAGATATCACTGGGGCAAAACAAAAAAACCTGCCTGTGGCTAGTTGACCCTCGAAGTCCCCAAAATATCCAATACATTTGAAAGGTAATCTCATAAATGAAGTCATCCTGAGTACTATGACTTGACATTTGATATCCACGATTTGATTTGTAACCCCTTCGTCATGCACCATTGCCTCATAGAGTATTGAGAAAAAGTGTTTGGTAATGAAGGGATCTGGTGTTTGATCTTGGCACGAAAAGAAAATATCCTTTCAGCTAGAGAGCATTGAAATGGCTCTAAAAGCTGTACACACAAATGCCTGTGTTGATGATTGTTCATGGGGGGAACGAATTTGGAGTGGAAAGGTAATAGGGCAAAGGGGAAGGAGTCATTGGAAAAAAAGGCCAATTTTCACTTATCCTCACAAGTTGAAATTTGAGGTACGTCGAATGGTGTAGCTTGTGTTGATTCAATGGATAGAACTATCGCCCCCAGTGTCTAATCCCGGTTTATGTCGTCGGCTTGCTTTAACTTCCCCGTAGAGCAAAATATCGGAATGCAACTACTGCCACAACCAAGTCCCATAAAATAAGATAATATCAAATTTATGCGGTCTCACGCTTGCCCTCCTTCAACTCCTTCTGTAATAGTAGTCAGTATTCGAATGCGACGGAAACTGATTATCGGAAGGAGGACGAACCAAAGCCTTCATTGTGCCGTGGAGAGCATGTCTGTGGTTTCTTCTGAACTTGGGGTCGGTACCCTTGAGGGATGGGTATCTGGAGGTCTTTGGCTTCTTGATACTGCGCGTCGATGTAAAATTAGCCCCCATTCATCCAAAACGGGTTATTAATTGAAGTAGACGGAATTTGCGGTTATTGATCGCGATAATATGCAGGGAATCGTACCCGTTACGGTGAGCCTTCTTCGACTGGTTGTGTTGGGACGAGTTCTTGGATTCTAAAAAAG